AGGAGTGCAGTGGCATGGCCGTAGCTCATGACATGTTCAGATCTGATTTAGCTGTTGCCATAATATGGATGGTGGGCTGGAGGGGGAAACGGATAACTACACATCTTAAAACATTTGGTGGCCCTTTTGGGAGGTCTCTTAAGGATCCGATGGAGCAAAGGGAATCATAGAAAATATGAGGAGACACCAAGGACAGGGTCCATGATAAAGGATACCCCAAAAGGCCATCCACTGTAGTTCTCTGTCTTTTAGAGCTGGGAGTGTCACATAATGAGGTGACAAGAAGATGTGTGAAATCTGGCACCAATTTTGCCACAGAGGCCCCCAGAATATATGGTGCCATTTCTAGCCCAGTGGCAACCTCCCTCAGGAGAGCCTGGAAGCAACTTTCAGAGGCAGTGGTCGGGAGTGCAGGGTTTACCTTTCAAAGTGTAAGATCGGTCTAAGGAAAGGAAGATGGGTCTGGCTTATAGGAGAAGGGGCAAGGGGAAAGGCCATCAGATGGGAGAGTAGAGAGATGTCTGTTTTGGGGAGGAGATATCTTGGATGAGAGATAATCCTATAATAACAGGAGTCCTGCGGATGAGGAAAACAATAAGAATATTCAAATAATAAGGGTTACCATTATACTAAGGTGTTAAAAACTAAGCTAGGCTATTTTTAATATTTAATGTGGGAATTAAAACACCTATTTTACAGATAAGGACAGAGGTTCAGGGAATACTAAAAGCAAATAGCATGTGACAAAGCCCAATCCTAAGACAGTACTGTTGTCTAATACCAATGTGCCAACTATTCTCAGCCCACATCACTCTATTAGCTCTAAGGGATTGCAAGGAAACAGGAATTCTATATTTCTGAGGGTACTGTGGAACTCTGTCATGCATGTTTTCCTTAAGGTAATAATAAATGAAAGGAGTGGCTAGCCACACAGCAGTATCCTTGAGCAATACAGCAATTTGTTCCAGGAAGAGGAAATGGTACAATAGCTGCATGTGTTCAAACAGAAGGCTTGCTCTGAAAAACAAAGCAATTAAGAATACAGGATTCATTTCACAAATATTTACTGAGTGCCTACTATGTGCTATAGTACTAGAAGGGAAAGAACTGTGAATAAAACAGACAGAGTCCCTACCTCACACTGTGCACAACTCAGTGAACCATACCTTCTGTAACCATCCTTAACACTAGAAAAGTAGTTTTCTCTCTTGACTGACAATTAT